TTGTTGATGATAATACAAGATATACTTGGATACACTTGCTTCAATTGAAGAGTGATGTTGTTGTGGTACTTAAAAGGTTTCTATCTATGTTGCAAACACAGTTTCAGTCCAAAGTGAAAATGATTAGGACAGACAATGGAACAGAATTCTTCAATAAACACATGTCAGAATTGATTAGCTCTTATGGAATAATACATCAGAGCAGTTGTGTATATACTCCACAACAAAATGGAGTGGTGGAGAGAAAACATAGACATATTTTAGATATAGCAAGGGCAATGAAGTTTCAAGCAGTGTTCCAACAAAATACTGGGGTGAGTGTGTTAATACAGCAGTCTATGTGATAAATAGACTGCCTACTGCATTATTGAAGGGAAAATCTCCATATGAAGCTCTACATAACAGAACACCAAGTCTGAGTCACTTGAGGGTGTTTGGATGCCCGTGTTATGCTACTACAATGATCAAAGAGGACAAGTTCTCACCTAGAGCAAGGGCAGCAGTATTTCTGGGGTATGCAGAAACACAGAAGGGATACAAACTGATAGATTTATCCACTAACTGTTTCTTTGTTTGCAGAGATGTAGTGTTCAAGGAACATATATTTCCTTTTGCAAAATCATTCTCTCAAGCCCTAATTGCAGGAGACAACACAATACCATATATGTCTGCAACTGAACCCCTCAGTGGTACAAACTTGCAACCTGAGAGAACTGACATTAATGATTCAGGAGAAGAGGCAGTTCAGCTAGGATATCATGATGATCTCACAACAACCGATGCCTGAAGATATGAGAATGAGCAGCACTCTACAGCAGTTGCAGGAGGCACCAGCACAGACATGCCTGAAGCAGAAGCAACCACATCTAGTTCAGATGATGTGAGAATGTTGGCATCAGAACAACAACAACCAACACTACAAGATAATCACACTGTTTCATCAGGGATAGAAATGGGCAACAATGAGCTGAGGAGATCAAAAAGGACAGCAAAGGAGCCCTTGTGGTTGCAAGATTATGTAACCACAAAAGGGAACCAGGGGTCTTCATATCCTTTAACCAACTACTTATCTTATGACAAACTGAAGGACAAGTGCAAGAAGTTTCTAGCCAACATCTCCATATTGACTGAACCAAAGAATTTTGCTGAAGCTTCAAAGGATAGAAGGTGGATTGAAGCAATGGAAATGGAGATCAAGGCACTAGAAGACAACAAGACCTGGGATATTACTGATTTGCCAGAAGTAAAAAAGGCAATTGGATCAAAATGGGTATACAAAATCAAGTACAAAGCCAATGGAGAAGTGGAGAGATTTAAGGCCAGATTGGTTGCCAAGGGGTATAGTCAGAGAGAAGGTTTAAATTATAATGAGACCTTCTCACCAGTTACAAAAATGGTAACTGTGAGGTCTGTCATTGCACTTGCTGCTTCCAGGGGTTGGAACATCTCACAAATGGATGTCTATAATGCCTTTCTACAGGGTGATTTATATGAGGAAGTCTACATGGAGCTCCCTCAAGGTTTCAGAAGGCAGGGGGAGACAAAAGTCTGCAAATTGCTGAAATCACTATATGGGTTAAAGCAGGCCTCAAGGCAATGGAATATCAAGCTCAATGAAGCTCTCATAGCTGCATGATACATTCAAAGCCTTCATGATTACTCATTATTCACCAAGAAGAGAGGTGAAGACTTTGTGGCAGTACTGATTTATATAGATGATCTATTGATAACTGGAAACAGTCCACAATTCATCAATGAGACCAAAGAGGTGCTTCATCAGCAATTCAAGGTCAAGGACCTGGGAGACTTGAAATATTTCCTAGGGATTGAGGTACAAGAGTGGAATTCATTTGAATCAAAGAAAATATTGTCTCCAGTTGATCTCTGACTTAGGCTTAGGAGGTGCTAAGCCTGCCCTCACTCCAATTGACCTTAATCAAAAGTTTACTTCTGCAGAATTTGATAGACATACTGGTGTTAGCAATGATGAGGTGTTATCTGATGCTAGTGAATATCAAAGATTGGTTGGTAGACTGATTTACCTAACCATCACTAGGCCAGACATTGTGTTTGCAGTACAAACTCTTAGCCAATTCATGCAAGAGCCAAAAAGGTCTCATTGGGATGCAGCCATGAGAGTGGTGAGGTATCTCAAACATGAAACAGGGATGGGGATCTTCTTGGGGAGCTCGAATGAAGATAGCCTGACCTGCTTCTGTGATGCTGATTGGGCTAGTTGCCCAAACACGCGCAGGTCTGTTACAGGTTATTTGATCAAATTTAGAGATTCACTCATCTCTTGGAAGTCTAAGAAACAACACACAGTTTCAAGAAGCTCTGCAGAGGCAGAGTATAGAAGTCTAGCAACAGTAACAGCAGAGGTTGTATGGTTGTTGGGACTGTTTGGTGAGCTAGGTGTGCCTACTAAGCAGCCTGTCAATGTATATTGTGATAGTAAATCTGCTTTGCAAATAGCCGCTAATCATATCTTTCACGAACGTACCAAGCATATAGAGATTGACTGCCATTTTGTACGCGAAAGAATCAAACAAGGACTGCTTGTGCCTCTTTATGTCGGAACTAAGGATCAACAGGCTGATTTGCTGACCAAAGGGCTTGGTCACTCTCAGCATAGCTTCCTTTTAGGCAAGCTTGGAGTGCTCAATATCTTACACCCTCCAGCTTGAGGGGAAGTGTGAGAGTAGTTAGTTTTAATACTGTTAGGTAGTTAGTATGGGTCCCAGCTGACCCTAGTTAGGTTGGTAGAACTATAGTTAGTTGTTGTAACTATAGTTAAGTTAGACAAGTTAGACACATATATATTTTGTAATCTCACTTCGTTCAATACACAGAAAATCATTTTCTCATTTTCCTTCCTCTATAACTGTTTTCTTCCTCATTTCGCTCACAGCCATGGCGACGCCTCATTCGAGTAGTCTTTGATAGAGTTGTAGATTTAGCTCAAATTTATCGAGCTCACACAATAACGTAAATAATATTTATACGATGTTACTTATTAGGCATAGTAATTATCTTTCGAATATTGACAAATTTGCGACAGCACCAGTAAATAAACCACTAGGAGTTTTTTCTTTTTTTTTTTGATCCCTTTGTTGGAGCTATACTTCTTTGGTGACTCGAATCCACAATCCTAAAGTTATAGGTGGGGTTGTTGACCATCTGAGCAACCCCTCTCGACCGAGTAAATTAAATTTTGGATGCATGATCAGCAAATAAAACGTGATTCTTTTATTGTACGACCTGCTGCATTAATCATATTATACTGAGCATGACAGTGTCATTCAATATCACAAAAAATCTTAATTTAAGCAATTCTGGGATTCATAATGATACTATGAAAATAAGTAATTTCTCTATTTTATTTTATTCAAATTTATTGATTGAGCATAAAGTTAGAGAAAAAACGAAATACTTTAAAATTTTTGGTTTTAAATAATTGATGTCATTTTCGTGGTTATAGAATTATAACATAAAGTTAATATAAAAATTTAAAGTGAAATCGTTTCTAAATATTTGAATGTGTAATTTTTAAAAAATGAACAACAAAAGAGAGTGGCACATAAAATATAACAAAAAAAGTAAATAATAGATTGTAGGGGGAAAGCAAAAGTATGAAATAAAAAGATAAAAACTGTACCTTTATTTTTCTTATGGATGCGGCTTTTTGCCTTTAGCATTGTTTACCTTGAAAATGATATTAACAATTATATTTGATTTTATGGTTCTAAAAATATGTGATTTATTTCAATACTAGTTGTTAGGCAATAGATGCTAAGTGTAAGTAAAGATAATAAGATATGCAAACCAATGCTGTCGCAAGACTGGGCCTTGAGCTGGCTGGAACAGGGGGCTTCGAGGTCCAGTTAGGACAGTTAGCAATGAAAATTGATGAAGAAACAATGATATCGAAGGCCTCGAAGTAATGAGCAATAAATGAAGAACAATAAATGAACAGGCAATAAATCTGTAGAGTAATTGTTGAACACGTTTAGGCAAGAAAAGCAAAGAATGTTCTATTGTATTGAATATTCATGTGTGTTACAAATGACAAGGGTCCCTTTATATAGGAGGGGGGAGGGGGGGGGGGGGGAGATCTCAACATAGTACATGTCTAATAATGACGAGGAAATGCTATTGGTACAGCTGTATAATGACTCAGAATGGATTTGTATTATTCTTGCAGACTTGGTTAGCTCTAACCACGTATCCTTGGGAGCTTTCCCGCCTTTCCATAACGATCATCGATTTGTCACACTTCAAATTCTACTTCGAGCTTCTCGAGGTCGGACGTGAAGTGCCACAGTAGCCTCAAAATCGAACTCCCCGATTTTGGCCGTATACAGCATGTTTGGCTCATGTAAGAGGAAAGTTGAAACTTCCAATTGCCAAAGCCGTCTCAATCCCACACCTACCAAATTACAATATGTACCCTCTCCTTGTTTTTTCCATTAAACAATTGTTCTCTTTCTGTTATGTGCAATTTATTTATTCATTCACATGTATTTTTCTGATATGTTTATTAATTAGCCCTCAATCTTTGACTAGTATCAAACCACATAAAGGAGAAAAAATCTTAGTATATCTTTTTTCTTGCGGAAAAAAAAAATACTCGACTTTTGAATTATATTAACGGAAAAGGGCCTAAAATGTCCCTGTACTATATGATATAGGACATCAAAGTCCTCCATTAAAAGTTGGCCCCTTATCTGCCCTTGCCGTCTAAAAATGGGCTCAAAAATGCCCTTCTCTACCCCAACTTTTAACGGAGGGTTTTAATGTCCTATTTCATATAGTAGAGGGACATTCTAGGCCCTTTTCCGTTATATTAAACACCCCCACAATGACTAAAAAAAGATATCAGGAAGTTCTCCAAAATTTTGGATCTCTAAATTCGTAGATATAGTCAAATAAGTACTCCTACTTCTCAAGGAATATATACTGTTTTCTTTGTTTTCTCCTTCTTTGATTTATATCCTATACTTGTTTATTTCTCTTTTACTATTAGTCCACTCCCACGTTTTTCTCTCATTTGACTCTTTTAAGCAAGCTCCTACTTTATCCTCCTTTTTAAAATAATTTCCATTGTATGCTTTTGAATGAAACAAGCATCTTCTAATAGCAACCGCATTTCTCTCTGAATATTGCATTACCATTTTCCTGCTACTTGCGTCCATATCCTTTATCTTGAACACACAATAACACATTATTTCATTTGTATATTTTCTTGCTTTTTGAGCTCTTCCCTTGTTTCCTAGTATAGTTTATGGTACCTAAAATAGCAAAAATTGTAGTAACGACATGTGACTGTTGGATTTTGCTAGTAAACGTTTAGGGACCAGAACTACTTTTTTGTTCCGTCCCTAGAAGCTATTTTTCTTGTAGTGATATATAACTTAACACATGGGCAAGATCCAAGGTTTTGTTCTCAAACATCGGGTCACCGCACTTCTCCGGTGTTCATTCCGGCGAAGGAAATCGCCGGCGAAGTACCAACAAGATAACCCACTTCCGAGTCCTAGTGCAAAACCCCTTTCAAAATTCTTAAACTGGACAAAAAGTCTCAAGATCAAAGCCAAGGTTATTTGCTCAAAAATTCACTGCTCCGGGTCCGGGTCGGGTTCGAGTCGAGGTTACATACAAATCGGGCAAGAACCAGTTGGAGAGAAATCTATGGCTGTGCCAAAAGGTCAAATGGCAGTTTATGTGGGACAAAAAGATGGAGATTTTAGAAGAGTTTTGGTTCCTGTAATATATTTTAATCATCCTTTGTTTAGTGGGCTGTTGAGGGAGGTTGAAGATGAGTATGGGTTTAATCACCCGGGTGGGATTACTATTCCTTGTCGGATCTCGGAGTTTGAGCGTGTCCAGACCCGGATCAAGCAGGGTCGGGTTGCCCCCAAAGTGTTGACATGAAAATTGAACTCACACTTGTTTTGTAAAAGATTATCACCACTTGACTATGTATAAGCTTTGGTAATGTAAAAGTAATCATGTTTTGAGTTAAATACTAAGAGGTCGTTTGATAGCTGGTTAGAAGAAAGGTTATTCATGTATAAAGGGTAACATAACTTATACCATGTTTGGTAGGCAATCGTTATTTTGTATAAAATTCTGTATAACTAATACCATGTTTGGTTGACATTTTTCAATTATGCATAAATAATACATGTATAAGTTATGAGTCAATCTGTGTATTATTTTATGCAGGGTAGAAGATGGAATAACTAATACATGTATTAGTAATACATGGATAAAATACTGAAATGACAAATTTACCCCTATCACTTTACACATAAGGCTTCCTTATTTCTCTGCCAACCCGTCAACAGGTTTCACTTGCTTTCACTTGCCAACTATATACCTTGTCTTCTCTCATTTTTAAAGAACAAACTAGCAAAAGCAAACTGGAGAAGCCACTAGAAAATGGAAATACCAAAACTAAGAAGTGAAAATCAAATATGTCTAAACTTCACATAGTTCAGTAGTATGACGAAGAAGTGAAAGTAACACCCAAAGTTCCTAACTAAATTGTTTCCTACATAAATGGAAAGAGAGAAAAAACAATGCAAAAGAAGGCCAGGGGTATAGTTGTAAACAAGCATTTTACTTTAAAATTTATATAATGTATATCAATTTCTAATCAACAAACCAAACATTCAAAAAAATAATCCCTGCATAACTAATACCTGCATAACTAATCCCCGCATTACTTATCCCTGCATAACTAATCCCTGCATAACTAATACATGTATAACTAATACCTGCATAACTCTAACCGGCAACCAAACGACCCCTAAATGCATTCCGAAGCATGATTCAATGTTTTTATTTTGGGTGACAGAAAAATATATTATTAATCATCCCAACAACAACTGTATGAGATATACAATGTAAGCCTGTGCATACTAAGAAAGCTAGGTATTGCTACCTATAGTCTCCCCATAGTCGAAGAAAATGCTCCCTATGTGTTCAATGTATCGTGTCCTTGTTTGACCAAAAGATATTAAAACCTTTTTGATTAAATCAATTAATGATAATGATGGGGTAAATCTTAGTCAAGCATAACCAAATCTAGATCAAGTGATGGAAGAAGTAAGCAAGATGAATAATGCTATCTAATACGTAGGAATCAAGTAAATGCTCATAAATGCGACAACTTAAATGCACAATCAATCTTAGTAAATACGATCGGCGTAGAAAAATCAGTATGAGATGATTGATGAATCTTTGGATCTTCCAGATATCGTATAATGATGTATATCTCTTTTTGTGCAATCAATGAACAAGGCAACTTTTGTATTAACTCTTAGATGAATCTTATTATAAAGTGTGCTTTTGTCTTTTTTGTCCGGATCCCCTTCTTCTTCACTAACCCTTCCTATTTATAAGGGTCAATCTCCCAAGAAATCCTAAAAAGTACAACATAAAGAATATTCGAAAAGCATATTCTTACTGTCTCCTATTAAGTTTAAACTACTGTTGACATCTCGTCTCAGCTGACCGCGCTTGGTCATCGTCCTTCATTTCTACGACCATCAGATGTTGCGTCATGATAACCTCGTTCCCCATCCCACTCGGTAACTGTCGTGGTTGCCAAATTTGGGCCCATACAGTTAGTCCCTCCGCTTGTTGAGGTCGTGGCCCTGTACGTCCTTGATAAGCGGACATTGCCTATACCCGTGGAGAAATTTGGCTGTTGAATTACGCCGGTTTGATGAGGAAAGGAAGAGTGGTGTGTTTCACGGTATCCTGGTTGGTGTAGCTTTATCGGGAAATGACGTCACTCCCACGTGCGTCATCTTTACGCGTCTTCCCGAGACAGAGACTGATTGCTTGTCGCTTTGGTTTTGGTGCCATTGGCAGCCTCCCGCTTTGATTCTAGCGCCACCCAACCCTATAAATAGGTGAAGGTTTTGTTTTTTCAAGGACTTTTAGCCATTTCCTTTCTTGTGTATGCATTGTCCTCTTTGATCATCTCTCGTTGGGTTTGCAGCTCTGTTTTCGTGATTTTTCTTCTCATCTTTTCTGTTCAATCACCATTCTTCGTTTTACGTTTAACCTGCATACCCTTCATCATCAAGATGCCCAGAACACATCGGACCCACGAGGAAATTTCTAATGCCGCCCCGTTATCCATAGCACCTCCTTCCGGTGGCGAGGATGCGGCGGTTGAGGAAGGGGACAACTTTCCCATCGTAGAGGAGATACTCCCACGGGACATTTTGTCCTGGAATAACTTTCATAAAGAACCTGCCTCCTCCCCTGTTCCGGTGGTTTCTGAAATCGAGCAGGCTTATATAAATGACCTCCGGTCTAAGTAAAATATTTCTTCCCATGTTGAGATGGTTCCGGCAGGGAGGGATCTTGTGGAGGTCCATAGACCGGGATATTGTGCTTTCTACGAATATCCCTTTGTGATCTGTCACACCCTCCCTCTTCTTCCGTTAGCGGAGGAATTCTGTTGGTTCTACGAAGTTTGCCCGGCGCAGCTATCTCCATACACGTATAAAAATTTTCTAGTACTGACAAAGTATGCGGAGATGGCGGGGTGTGAAGTTAGCCTTCATCATCTTTTACATTTATTTTCCCCGAGTTTCCACAGTGGCACCATGGTACACCTGCGACATCGTGGAACCAGGGGGTTGATGGTCGGAACGGACGACCGGGCAAACCGCAAATTCTGGCACAAGTACTTCTACATTAGAACCGAGCACTTGGTGTCGGACCCTATTGGATTTCCAGAGCAGTGGAATCACAACCGTAGGTGTTGGTAATCGTTTGTTTATTTTCGTTCCCTCTAATTTGTACTTATTTTTGACTTTTCTGTATAGCTGCGAGACGTACCCCTCTTCCTATCGTCGATATAGAGAACTGGGTAGCTCGCGTACTGCCTTATGCGGCGGGGACTCGAGACTGGCCCGCCTTTCTCAAACATTTCGGGCCGAGAATTTTGTCCGGTAAGTGTTCCCTTTGTTTTGACCTTTGGATGTTTGCCGTCTTATTGATACGTCATCTTTGTGATGATAGGTCATAAGGCTTCCAGGAAGAAGGCCCCAATCTCGGCATTTTGCCAGGCCGTCGCATCAGCAGGGATGCAATTTGCCTTGGCTGAGTCCGTTCGAGGATGCCGTGCTCAGTCTGTACCAGCTAGAGACTCTCTTCGTGACATTATTGTATGGGATGAGATCTCCTCTCGACCCATTTATCACCTCATGGACGAGCCTTCCGATGGGGATGAATCTCCATCGAGGAAAAGGAGGAGGGCAGATCTTGGGAAGGCCGTTTCCACTGATACTGGAAAGAGCAGAGCCGGTGCGTCGGAGGCGACATCTTTGCCTAAGTCGGGCACATGTGCCGTTTTTATGGCAGACGCCATTTTGGCGGGGAGGTCCCCCAGGGCTGAAGGGATACATCAAGACGGGGGATCTGCACGATCCGCAGAGGGTGGTGCATCATCCGCCGTCGGAGGAGGTGGAGTTGAGCATGCTGAGAATGACGGTTCAGGTTCGGATGTCGATCCATACGATGTCCGAGCTTACTTGGCACGTCATACTCGTGTAGAAGTGAGGACAGAAGTTCCTAACCGACACATAGTCGTTCCTATGGATTACGACTTGCTGTCGAACTTTGAGCAGGCGGCGTCGGTATTCGCCCCTTTATGTGCAGCTTCCGAGAGCGCGGTGCTTAAGTCGATGAGCGATGTAGAGCTTTCGCGGAGTATTTTCGGTATGGCTCTGCGGGTAAGTGCTTTTCTCTTTTTTCCTTTTTGTTTTTAGATTCGTTTTGTGTACTTAACCTATTCCTTGTTTTGGATTTGCTTTGCATATTAGATCCTCATCATGGAGGTTGAGCGCGATCGGAGGGATAGGCGGAGAACGACTGTTTTTGGGAAAATGGCCAACAAATATAAGGAGTACCGTACCAAACATCGCGCATTGGCCGATCTTTTTACCCAGGACAGTGATTTTCAGCTGTTCCGTGACGGGCTCAAGCAGAAGGAGAAACAGTTGGTGCAGAGGGTCGAGGAGCTAAAAGAGCGGGATGAAGACCTGATGAAGGCCATTGCCCGATGCTGCGAACTTGAGGCGGCTCTTAAGGCCAAGGAAGATGAATTCGAGATGAGTAAGGGGGTGATGGCTGAAAACGCCGACCTTCAAGTGCAGGTGGCCAACTTAACTGCCGAGCTTGACAGGGCGGGAAGCTGTCAATCTTAGGGGCGAGCTGAGCTCTAAGGCTGTTGGATTGGCTCGTGCTGAGAGGGATAGGGCGATTGCCTTCTGTGAGGTAGTGGCTTTGGAAGATGCCCTTTGTATTTGTAGATCAGAACGGGATAAGGAGGTGGAGGCGTCAGCGCTTAAGGTAGCGAGATTTGAGGGACGTATCCATGATTTGGAGGCGGAGTTGTCCGTGTTAAATGAACAAGTTAGAGCTTTGAAGGCGGATGATGGGCGATGGCAGTCGCAACCCTCTACATCTCATGCTTCGGCCGACCCTGTCGTGCCACGAGATTTGTATGAGATGTGGGTTCATGCCGAAGCTCAGCTTGACGTGTATAAGTCTCTTCATGCCTAGGGGAGGATGTTTGAGGCAAAACTTCGAGATGTGCATGTCATAGCACGTGCGGCTCGTGAGGCATGCGGTTATGACCCCGGCACGCCTGGTGGAGATGATGTTGATTCCGACGATGCGGACAAGCTCGCCTCCGATTCTTGGTACAATGAGGTGTATGCCATTGGGGATGATGTGGCGTAGGTTTTGGTTGTATTTATTTTTTTCTTTGCTATTTTTGTGAGGGCTTCCTTGAGCCCTTTGTAAAAAAAACTTGTAATATATCAGCTGTAATGGAACAGTTATTTTTTGCTGTGTACCTCTGAGCTATTTTTTTTGTTGTTGTTTATTTGGCGATGGCCTTTGCCGTAAGGGTGTTTGTTTCGAGTTAATGTCGAAATGTTAACCCATCGTGTTTCGAACAAGGTCAAACTCTTCTTTTTTAGGCGATGGCCTTTGGCCGTAGGGGTGTTATTTCGAGTTTGCCGAAATGCTACCCCATCGTAGTTCGAGCGATGTCGAACTCTCTTCTTTGGCG